GCTTGAGCAGTTAATGGTTGAAAATGATCGTATAAAACAGTCAAAATATCCAAATAAAATAGTGTTAAAACTAAAAACTACTAAAAAAATTGATATATGTTCGTTTTGTTTGACTATATATGAAAACGTTAGTAAATATTCAAATGAGAAATAAGATCCTCCATAATTGCGTATTCAAATATTTTTTAATAACGCCTTCATATATAATCAAACAAAAAAGATTCTGCCTTCGTTCTATTTAGATTCTACTGACATGTACTACATAGGCAGACATAGTTTTATTAATATGTTGTTTTGTTATTGACACAAGTTGAATTATTACTATTGTTTTAGATGAAAATAATTTAATGTTGTTGTGTTTTTTTAAAACATCTGCTGATATTCACAAACCATATGAAAATGTATATAAAACGTGTATTAGTATTTTTTGTGTCAAAAACTTAACATATCCTGAATATAGAACATTATCAAGAGAAAAAAATGGGCAAAGGTACGTTAGTTTTTAAATCAAAAAGTTCTTATCGTGTCAACATTTTATTTATTTTCGTTTTTTTTTATATGAAAGATTTATTTCCCGTTATTATTGTCGTATTATATTTGGTGATTAATCCGAGTTGTATTTCAACATTAACATGTCCACCAAATTCTAAAATTTTTCCATGTACATGTGACAGTGATCTAAGACAAGTTACTTGTGAAGGACAAAAATTTACTACTACAACAATATTTTTAAAAAATATAATAAGAACATTTCATGATTATGTTGAAACTAACGAAAGATATTTTGAACATTTACTTTTCCATAGTAATATTACTGATTTTTCCGATATTAATTATCCGACTCTGGAAGAAGATGTTTTTGGTGAAATTTCATTTAAGAAAATTGAAATAATAAATATTTCAAACTTTGAAAATATTAATTATAAAGCTTTTTCTACAAAAAATGCTCAATTTGTTGAAGAATTTATTATTGAACATACTAATTTGAGCAAAGTTTATTTAGGATCTATATCATTAACAAATTTAACATATATTTCATTAGCAAATAACAAACTTACAGAATTACCAGAAAATATTTTTCCAAATTCTGAAAAATTGAAAACAGTGGATTTAAAAAACAATCAGATTGTTATTGTGAGTGACAGAGCCTTTATAAATAAACCAAATTTGGAATATATTGATTTATCTCGAAATAGAATCAGTAGGATTCCACCGATTTCTTCATTAAGAAATATTACAATTAATTTAAGCAAAAATGATTTTTTATGGTCCGGATCGGGTGGTTACTTTACACAACCAACACATATTATTTTAGATGATAATAATTTTATATATTTGGATCAAAGTTATTTTGAGAGATTTTTAAATCCAATATATAAGAATACATTATCAATTAAGAACAATAAAATTGATTGTATCCATTGTAATAATAAATGGCTTTTGTTCAATAATAACACGAAATTATATCAACAAAACATTTACAATATGGAGTGTGAATCAATGACACGTTCATTTTGGGAAAGTAATATTGAAGATTTTAGTCGATGTTAAATTTTTGTTTGTTTAATTTGAAAAAAATGATAAAAGATTTTTGTTGTTATTCAATTATTTATAACCATCGTTTCTTGTGTGCGAAAAAAGACAATAAATTATAGAAGGTCGGTTATCATTTGCTCTAAATTCTGGTCCCCAGATTCATCTCTACATCGTGTCCCCATTTAGGGACAATTAAACAGTTATGGTCAATACTGGTGACCAAATAGGGACTTTTAATCAGGGACTTTCCAATTTAGGGACTTTTTTTCAAATACACACTATACCACATAGAACACAATTCAACATCATCCTCTACCGTGCTGAAATCTTTTACCGTTGGAACCAAATATTGTGGCGGAAATAGTAGTATGGGTAAGTACATTCTGGTCACCAGAATCGTTTTGTATGTTGGGGCTTCCTCGTCGTTTTTTATATTCTACTTATGATAGTTTGTGTTATATGAAATCTATGATTTTCTTATATTCGAATTGTCAAAGAAAACAATTCTTATATTTAAAAGATTTCATTTTTTTCATACTATTAATTTCTTCTTTTCTTTATGCTTCTTTTCTTTATTTATACTTCTTTGGTAACTGTATGATCAGTCGTTTTTTTATAATATTTAACAAATTTAACAGTGAGGTAATAGTAAATAAAAGTTAAGACTTACTTTTCGGGGAAACCAAATATCGTCATCACGATCTCATCATAAAATCGTTGTGTCTAGTTGCTAGAATAGAATTAAAATATAATCGTAGATTGTGTTTGTAAAATCAACTGTGCTGTCAGTGCAAAAATTTTGCTTATTTTTGACACACTGTTTCATTTCCATTAGACTTGAGAACTACTCTGCCTTTAAAGAGAATATCGGATTCAATTTATAAATAAATTACAAAGACTGATTAACAAGATGCGACGACAAAAAAAGGATAAAAAATTAAACGTCTGTATGGTGCTTGGAATCTGGTCACCAGATTTTACATCACAATGCCGTACATGCGAATAAGGTCTGTGGTTTATCAATCTGGTCACCAGATTTGACGTCGCAATGCCTTACATTAGAATTGCAGATCTTCAGTCAATGACAATACGAACCATGTTTAGAGAATAGTATGGATACTGAGCTGCTATTCGATTCTGATATATATGCCATATCTTATATTTGAAAAAAAAGTCCCTGAATTGAAAAGTCCCTAAATAAAAGTCCCTATTTGGTCGCCAGAATTGACCATAATTGTTTAATTGACCCTAAATGAGGACATGAGGTAGGGATGAATCTGGGGACCAGAATTTAGGGCAAATGATAGACATTCGTTATAGAATTGGTCACTGTGTTTGGTGAACTGTTTACACAATGACTCTTAAGAACATGAACTGATTGTGATGAATTCTATATAGGGGTGGGACTTTACCTTTACTTTACTATTATCGTTTTCAAAAAGCAATGTCCCTTGACTAAATTTAGAATAACTCCCCCATAGAAAGAGATATCGATCTCTGGTTTCCGCAGATCGCTAGCCAACACGTTTTTGCATATAGCCATGCAAAAACACTCTCAAAAAATTAATTTATAGTCGGTTTTCCAAGAGGATCTTTGGAAAACCAGCTCCATTCTCGGAAAACTAAGATATAATGTTAGTAATCTTTTTGCATGCGTAGA